CTGGCACTCGGTGCCTGTCTGGAGGAGGACGCCCGGCTTCAGCCACTGCACCTCGGCGGCCTCATGGCTCACCTCCACCTCCAGGCACACGTCCCCCTGCTCCTCTGCCACCACGTGCTGCAGCTTCCGCACAAACAGCACCTGTGCCTCTGCATGGCCCATGCACCGGGTCAGTGGGCAGCCATGGGGCTGTGCCCTGGGCTGTGCCCCAGACGGCTCCTTCCCCCCTCACCTTGCACGCTCAGCCGGGCCGTGCTCACCAGCCCCTCGGCGTTGGCCGTCACGGTGCCCGCATCACCCAGTTGGCACTGCTGGACGGTAAGGCTGTGGCACAACCCACTCCTTGTCACCAGCAGCCGCTCACCAGGGACCACAAGCTGACCGTTCAGCTGCCAGGTCACAACTACATCCTTGGGGGACACCAGGCACTTGAAGGTGGCGTCTTCCCCCTCCAGCACCGTCAGGCTCTGCAACTCTGTGATGATCTCCACCACCCTGGGGACTACAGCCAGGGCATTGGGGCACAGCACTGGGGACCTCCCATCCTGTAGAGCCACTGAGCATCCCCGCACCCCCCTGCCATCGCCATGCCCAGCTTCCCCACTGCCCTCATGGCACAGGGGTCCCTGGGGTGGTGGCCAAGCCTCGGGCACAGCTCACCCTGCACCGTCAGTGTCGCCAGCGTCTGGTCATCGTTGGACTCGCAGCAGTACTCGCCGGCGTCCTCAGGCTCCACACGGCTCAGCACCAGCGAGCGCTCTCGCCCCCCCGCCATCATCTGCCGGCGGGGACTGGGCGCCAGCACTCGCCCGTCCTTCCTCCACACCACGTCCCCCCGCGCCTTGCAGAGTTCGCACCACAGTACCGCCCGCTCGCCCTGCCGCGCGCGCACGTCCGACAGCCCACGCAGGAACTTCACCCGCAGCTCTGCATGGCCAAACCCCCAGCGTTGGCACCCACCACCGCTGCAGGGGTGGGGTGGTCCCCCGAGCACCCCCACTGCCCTCCTGCCACCCACCTCGGACGCTCACGTCGAACTGCATCTGGTCGTTCGGGGAGAGGCAGGTGTAGATGCCGGCATCCTCCTTGGCCACATTGAGGAGGACGAGGCTGTGCACGCGGCCTTCCCGCCGTAGTTCGCACCGCTCGCCGGCCACTGCTGCCTGCAGCGGGCCCAGC